CCCTAGTGAGCACGCATTACCTGTTGCAAAAAAGAGACAGAGACAGAGACAGAGAGGAAATAAGGTCCTAAGGAACAGGATATGAGACAAGTGAGAGGAAAACTTGATTTTCACTGTATATACTTCCATTTTAAAAAAAAATTAAATCTGGTATAGGACACGTGTATTCACCAGAGAGACAGAGTGGGAGAGAGCGAGAGACAGAGAAAGTGCTTTTTCACTGCATTCTCCCCTTGGGAGAATGACCATACCGCAATCCCTTCTCCTCAACTCTCTGGATTTTGGCCATGCACACACGCACACACACACAGACAGACACATACATACCCAGCATGTTTGTCAAGTTACTGGGACTGGGACTCGAACCATACAGTTGGCCGTATGGGATCCAGCTGCCTCATCCACCATGCTAACTGGCTGGCCCTTAAAACACTTTTACTATGTGTATATACTACTAAGATATAAAAAAAGCCTTGGAGGGAAACCCTACACCAGCTATTTTCCTCCTCATTTTGGCCTCTAAGCCTGACCGTCCTCCATGGGAGGTGGTTGCTAGAACGTGTCCCTGCAGCAAACAGAACCGTGTGGGACCCGGCACGCTCCTGGCTCCTGCCGGCATCGCAGGCGGGCTGACCTGCTCTCAGCTGACTTCTGGGACCCGCTGTAGACAAGCCCACTTTGGTTCAGCCAAAGCAAGAACGCTGTGTCCGCTGACAACAATGTCACGTTCTCACTTGTGTGCAGTAAATAAGGAATGCCTTACCTTTCTGCAAAGGTATCGAGTTTCCCCAGCTCGTCGGAGAGGCCCACGAGGGAGTCCAAGGTCCCCACCTAGAAGACCGTGAAGATGTGAGAAGCTTGCACACTTTCCCGCAGAGAAGTGTGCTGCCACTTCAGCCACAGGCCAGGGGCCACATTCATCCTGCGTGAGCTGCCCTTGGTCAAAGGCCACGCTGGAAAGTGGGAGGCACTCTTACAGGGAACTAGTGGGTTCAGGATGTCAGTTTGCTTTCCCCCAGCATGATAAACTGTCATACTTTTTATTAATTTTTAAGAAATTTTTGCTGGAGGGCGCACACGCTCGCCAGAGAGACAGAAAATGAGAAATTACCCCCAGGGGTCAATCCCCTCTCATTCATTCTCCTCTCAGGATTTGGGCACGCACGCACGCACATGCGCCCAGTGTGAGTTTTAAGCCTCCAGGTCCGGGACTCGAACTGTGGTCAGCCACGTGGGAGTCCTGTGTCTTAACCACTATTCCACCTGCTGACCCCAAAACTGTCATGCTTCTGCATAGGAAGGAGTGACTATTATTTCATGGTCTGACCATTCTCCCTCAGAATGCCGTCTGCTTACTTATGTGGTGAATTACCGTAGTCAAGAAAGAGATACCAGAGAGCCATTCTGGGAGGTTTTCATTTCAGTTCAACCCTATAGCCTTATGGTTAAAGAAAGCTGGATCCTGGGGCTGGCAGGCGACATGGTGGTTAAGGCGAAGGATTCCTACACGGCCGACTGCAACTTGAGTCCCAGATAGGCAGCGTGCTTTCTTCCTCTCCCTCCCTCTCCCTCTCTGGTCAAACTGAACAATAATAATATTTGTTTTTTCTTTTGTTGTTAAGAGAAATTTTTTGCTCTAGGGCACATGGGCTTGCCAGAGAGGCAGAATTTAACATGAATTCATTTAATTTAAAAATGTTATAATTTCTGAAAGCCTTTCTTCTCCAAGACAGTCCAATCAACCTGTTCCTCTATTAACAGTGATCTTGTGGGAGAGGGCACTTTCCCCGCTTCATCGTGCACCAAGGTCTTTTTCTTCGGAGACTACTCATCCCCTGCTTCTGTCTGTGGAGCTGATCATAATGCCCACACTCGAACTTAAAAGTCTTCACACGGTCAGAGAGAAAAGGTTAGCTACCGTGCGATACCACCAATCGGATGTTAAACAGCAGCGACTAGAAAGTGCGGAAGACTGGCTACTTTATATGGGAAGTTGCTTTTTTTTTTTTTTTTTTGAGAGATTTTCACTGTAGGGCGCGTGCGCTCGCCAGACAGAGAGAGACATAGAGACAGAAAGCGAGAAATCACCCCCCGGGGGGATGGTCACGCCGCAATCCCTTCTCCTCCATTCTCCTCTCGGGATCTTGGGCACGCACGCACACGCGCCCAGCGTGAGTTTTAAGCCACCGGGTCCGGGACACGAACCACGGTCGACTACGTGGGAGTCCAGCGACATAGCCATTACGCTAACTGCTGGTTCCCGGGAAGTTGCTTATTTTCAAGCAATCTAACCATAAGCTGCTTTGGACAGGGGCCACCTCTTCATTTTCATCTCTGCGTTTCCCGGGTCCACCACGTGTCTCATACCCATAAATGACGAGTGGATACAGAGTTCACCGATCTAACGGCATCGGTCATGGGCAGACCACTTCCGCCGCTTACCAGCTCGACACCCCTAACAGCCACCCAGCCCCTCGGTCCCCGCTGATCTCATCACGGGAGTCTGAAGATCCCAAATGATGCCTTCAGAGCACCTGGCCTCCAGCACATTACTTGATAAACGCTAGCAAACCGTGTCGCCAACACCTGTGGCAGCTCTTCTGGCGGAGGGCAACCTGAGACTGGAAGAGATTGCCAGGCCGTTTTCTGTAAGACTGGGCCCTGGGTGACAGCGCCACTTCTCCAGCACCCACAGTGCATCTGCACCACCATGGTGACAGGATGCTTTAGTTCCTTCTTCCTGGAAACCAACGGTTCTAGCAGGCACCATAAGAAGTCCACTCAGGGGACCAGGAGTTGGCATAATGGCTATGTCACTGGACTCCTATGTAGTCGACTGCGGTTAGAGTCCTGGACCC